TCTATAGTTTAGTCTATAGCCTAGTCTATAACTTAAAATCCTAATTTCATTCATAAATTGTATCTATCCCTAATTTCCAAAAAATATAAGTTGATATATAAACTAACTTAAAAAATTGTATAACAATGGAGCTGCTTGTTGTTGTTTTCATTGTGTTATATATATGGACAATAATTTGTATTTTTTCAAAATATTTTCGTCGGCTGTCGCCATGAAAATTATAGTGAGGAAATTGATGAATGACAAATTTATATATATGCATATCCTTTTCACGACAAACTAAAATTATCGTTTCCCTTATGCAGCTGTTTTGTTCTTTTCCCATTCCAATATAAATCACCTTTGCACCTGTTTCTTGATCTTTTGTTAAATTTATTATACAACAAATTACATATAGTACGTTTCTTCTTGAAGTTATAAATGTTATTTTGTTATTTCCCATATTATATGGTCACATCCCCAATGGTCATTAATAAAGAAAAAAAACTTATTTTGCTTCTTTAATTTCAGTTTAGTTAAGTCTTGGGTTTTCTGCTCCTTAGAGTCTTTACAGCACAAAAACATTTTTATTATTGTGACTTTTCTTAAGTTAATGAGACAACAATATACTTTGGTCATATAAATGTTTGACACATACTTGTAAAGTATTTTATTTTTTTTTTATATTTTTATATTATTAAAACTTTTAGTCATAAACTTTTGTAACTTGGCTACTTTTATAATTTGATGAATTCGAAAGAATTGTACACTGTTAAAGAGTGGGTATAAAAATACACGGAGAAAAAAATGTTTAATTCAAAGTGACAGATTTATTTATACAAAATTATTGACATTTTTTTATATTTTTTTAAATTTTTTTAAATTCTTAATTGGTTTAATTCAATGTCTTTTTTATTTTAGTTTAAATTCTGTTCATTGTATTTTCCAAACGGAATAACAAACTGGTATATAACCTTCTCACGATATGTTAAAAACATACCGATATTATAATGACTCTCCATTACTAATAAGTATTTTCTCCAAGTGTAACAACTCAAGTTTATAAATTCATAAACTTGTATATCCTATTTGCTTTTATCTTTCACACTTACTCTCGCTCTCTCTCTTTCAGTATTCAATCTTTCCCCTTACAATGATGATAATAAAGTGTATATTAACAAAATCTTTTATTAAACACATACAAAAGATAACATATTCTTTCAGACACAAACATATGAACAAGAACGTTCATACAAGGATACTTACAAGATACATGTGTATAAATACAGATACATGAAATCACAAACTTGTACCAAATTTCGATAAAACGGCTCACTTAAGAATATGTCATATAAAATTACTTAAAACAAGATGTCTAGAAAAATTTTACAACTTTAAGTGTAAAAGTCTCTGCTTAAATTAAGATCTTATATCTTGAATATCCTGCAAAAATTTGATGGTAACATCAAATGGAAATATGTTAGAATATTTACTGAAATACCAAATTGTTGTGGAATTTATTGTAGTACGAATGAAATGTTTAATGTTTTTGCTATTACTCATTTATAGGAAATGAAGGGGCAGGAGCAATAGCTAAAGTGTAAGTGAAACTAATGAAGCAAAAAAAGATTTATATTGTAAACCATCTGACCAGAGAAAGTGACTATTTTGAGTTGTAGCATTAACCATATTGTGGAAATCTCTCTTCCTCTGATAAATGTCATCAATTACATGTTTTTCATGTACGTAGATATAAAGTGTCAATATTGACATTTTTACTCAAATATTGTATTGTGCACTAGTGTGCGTGTGTGGCCATTTTACGAACTTAAAATGCGTGTTATTAACAATACCTTTCTACTCGTGGTTAAGGGTTCTTTGAGGTTTTTCATCTTACAATATCTCATCAATAAATACATACATACAATATAAACATATACATACATACACATGTATGTACATTTAACTTGATTTTGTACAAATTTATTTATGTTCTAGATTGTACCTGTGTATAACTTTATTTCTATTTCTATTATATTTGATCATGTGGTCTTTGCTGTGAACTAAAAATAATCTTTTATTGACATCACAATCAATATATTTCTTTCTTTTTTGAGAAAGGTAACATATAAAACAACATGACAAATAAAGTCTATATTTTCTGCCTGTTTGTGTTGTTTTTTTGTTTTTGTATTAAGTCTAACTGACATTTAACAGATATTCAATATATATATGTATGTATTTACAAGAGAATATGAGTAAAATGTAAAAAATATTAAGTTTTTCATTGTGCATAGACATTAAAAACATATATTTCTATTAAGTTTCACTATATGTAAACATTGATATTTCATCAGTAGCGCATTTTTAACTCAGTGATGAGCGATAACAAACAAACTGCACAAATAAAAAATATTTGTGCAAAATTTCAGCTCTTTCCACTTGGACTCTATTGCGATTTAAACAAACACACAGATGGACAGACAGACAGACAGACAGACAGACAGACAGACAGACAGATGGATAGACAGACGGACAGACAGACGGAAAGCCAGATGGACAGACGGACATGGCTAGGTCGTCCAAAAATTTAATAAGATCCCACAATATATACACTTTTAATGGTCTTAGTACTTTTGTGGGTTTATGACCAATATTTCGATGTGTTACAAACGGAATGATAAAATGAATATACCCCATCTTACTTACTTATATCGAATTTCAGCGCTAGACTAGTATTTTTAAGCCAGTAATGGGAGGTTAAAGCCTTTTTTTGCAGGGGACCATATATGAGGGGTAGGGTCAATTATGGACCGATCCTCATAAAGTTTGGTTGAGAGAATTTGGCTCATATAAAACTTATTTATGTCGAATTTCATCGCTATACTCGCATTTTTAAAACAGTTATGACTGTTAAAGCTGTTTTTCGGGGGCTATGCGAAAACGTGGACCGATATTGCCCATTTACTGTGGAATATTTCAACTCTCTAGCTCTCTCCGTTCGGACTCTATCGTGCTTTCAACAGACAGACAGACAGTCAGGCAGAGGTGGCTAGATCGTCTTTGAATTTAATAAGGACCCAGAATGTATACTTTTGTAGGTCTATGATCAACATTTCGATGTGTTACAAACGGAATGACAAAGTCAATATACCCCCTATCTTTTTTGAATTGGGTATAAAAAAGAACCTTTTTAAAAACTAAAGGAAATCATTTTTTAAAAATTAAAAATATTTAAGAATTTGTAAAAAAATGCAAATATTTTTAAATAAGGGTCTTATATCCAATTTTATTACTTTAAAACGAAATAACAGCAAATGTTAAGTTTTCAACACAAAATCGATTTTTTAGCAACGACTTTAATACATTTCCCCACTCTTATTCTCTCACAGACTTAATCCCTAAGTTATAAATTTTATTCTCCATAAATCCGTCTTTATTGTTAAAAGGAAACATTTTTATAATAAAATTTTTAATTATTTCATCATTTGACCATTATCCAAGATTTTGCACAAGGATTAAGTTTTCCATTGTTTATAAGTGTGTGTGTGTGTGAGTGTTTTTAATTCAAGTTCTTATATTTAAACTTGAATTTAAAAATATCGATACACTTTTTATACAAATACATACTCCAACTTAAACATTACCACCCTGTAACTATTTTTAAGCTTCTTACTTCTGTTTTCTTTTGTTTTTTATGTTTCTTGCTTTTGTTGTATATACTTGCTTGTCAAATGTCAATCACATTTAGATACAGATACAAACACAAGAAGTATAACAATGTAACAGTACATTGTTTATACAGGAAAATATATGAATGTAGTATATACATACATTATAATGTATGGAAGGATATTCACATATACATGTATATGTACGTAAGTATGTGCATATGTATGTATATAAATACTTGAAGGATTTTTAATGTAATAACATTGATTTACAGTTTCCATAGAAAAAAGAAACGAAAAATGAAAAGAAATTTTATGTGTGTGTTAGTGTGTTAGTGCATGGAAAATTTTTATCCTGATATACCACTCATGATGTTCAACCAATTTTGAAAATATTATTGAAGTACATGCTCAATCTTCAAAATGTAACACTATGCAGGCAATAACATGTTGATGAATTCCTTGTTGTTTTCTAAAAACAAATTTTATAAAAACTTATAAATACACAAGTAGTTTGTAGATATAATTCTTGGCAAACTGGTACCCACACAAACTAAGATATGACATACCAGGATATTTCAAACAGGATGTTGAGTTGTTATTAATTTACAATTTTCTACAAACTGTTTATGATTTGTTTTTTTTTTTTTTATTTATACACTTCTAATCCTATCATCTCTACCACTTTACTGTGATCTTTTAGATTATTTTTTTAAGTTTTTGTTTTATTCAATTTATGGTTTTTTATTTGAAATTGTGGTAAAAAGGCCTCAAACTTTTCTATGATTTAATCAATATAAAAGTGAATTTTATTTCAAGTAAATAAGATTGAAATTTTAAGTATTTTATAAAACATCTTAAGACATAATTACATTATTTTAAATATTTAATTTGCAAAACTAAATAAGAGAATTCTTATAATTTTTTAAAATGGTATTTATGGAAATTAAATTAATAACATTGAATACATTTTTTTTTTGAGAAATTGTATTGCCACACACATTGTAGCCATAAACCAATTAAAGAGGTTACATTGTTATACCTTATATCATTATTATTACTGCCGACATTTTATTCTTTTACCCTACATCACTATAGTGGGGAGAGTATGTGCTGATGTTTGTAACACCCAAAAATATTGGTCCTATACTCTTCTTAAAGCATACCAATCGGCTCAGAATCACATTCTGAGTCGATTTACCTATGTCCGTCCATCCGACTGTGTGTCCATGCAAACCTTGTGCACACTTTATAGACTTCTCTACAAAATTCTTTGTTGCACTTAATTAATTTCTTATTTCAAAAAATGTCTACCAAATTATTTCAAATTGTTTCTTTCTTTATTTTCAGTAATTAAAAACAAATCATTTGGCACAAATGTTTATCTTAATTTAAAGTTCACGTAAGTACATTTTTCACTTAATTTTTAAATTATCAAGTTTTTAAATCTTTATCTAAAAACTGACTTCATGTTACTATCTAAGGATTGTTTTCTTATTATAGCACTTAAAATATCTCAAACTTTTTAAAATGTTTACTTAAGACACACCTGTTACTTTTAGTTTTACGTAGATACACATACATAACTATCTATATACATACTTATTTAAAAGGAAAAAGTCGTTAAGGTTTGGCATTATAAAAGATAGAAATAAAGAAACGATAAAGTAATATACAAAATTTTAAATAATATACATAAGTAAAATAGTGTTGAAAAGGGAAATGATAAATTTTAGAAGAATAGAACATTTTTCATGAAATTTAGTATAACGATTTAAGGCCCAAATAGACTACACAAGCGGCTCTTCAAACATACTTTTTTCATTCGCACCGATTTTTCACGTTTTTGTGGACTTTCAAAGATACAGATGTCAATTTTTCTTAGAAATGTAAATTTTTTGAAAAATTTGTTATTATTGAATATAAACCATACAAATGGTTTGACAAAAATTCAATATGTTTGTGTAAAAATCAAAATTTTTTAATTTTTGTACAAACAAACAGCAAGCATTTGAACAAACAGGAAACACCCTCATACACTACACAACAGGCTTGCACAAACGTAAAATATTGGTATGTTTGTCAAGCCGCTTGTGTAGTCTATTTGGGTTTTTACTCATTTGTTATAAACATATTGATATTATAAAAGCCAATATAGTTTTTAAAGCAGTAGCATTTAGACAAGTTTTTGAAAGATGCGTTCCATCGGAACCGATTTTTACTATACTTCTCAGCATGAGTATTTAAAACTAACTATTGGTTACTATTGATGCTTAATTAACAAATTCGAGTGGTCAGTCCGAAAAAAATGAAACGAGTTTAAAGAAAGCGTTTAAAATTATAACCGCCAAATGAACACCAAAGTGTTTATGATTTTTTAATAACATCCGTTTTCAAAGTATGTAGGGATAGTTCTCAAATCAACAACAAAAATATACAAAATATACAACTTTATCTAAAAAAGTAAAACCGAGAACCAAGATGTCTAGATCCAAAGCTAGAAACACATACATTCGTTGTTAATTAAAGAACAACTATTCATAATATATTACTGCGGAAAACTAAAATCCTTTTAAATGAAATAAAATTTACCATTTCACCACTTTTAGTTAAATTTCATTGCCAAATGTGACCACAAAAAAAAAAACGAATTCCTAGAAAATGTTATAAATAAAATGAAAATGCAATTATATTCATAAATATGTTATTGTAAGTAAATAAATACTTTATGAAATGAATGTAAAAAATACACTAGATGACAAAAAATGATGGCAAATATAACTTCAGGATATAAAATCGGATCAAAAACTTATTTTGAACATAATCATTTCCTTTAAAAAAATTAATTTTGAAGGAGAAAGATATGTGACCACAAACTAAAACACTTTTCCTAAAGCTTTCAATTATCGAAGTATTTGGATTTTCGATTTTTAAACAAATTTTCTTTTTGTTTTAACGAAAATCTTTAAACCAATGAAATTTTTACGAAATGTATAACCTACCTGCCCTCCGGACCTACATTTATTTTCCGAATTATTCCTATCCGTTATGATTTCGTAAATTTGTTGCACAGTGTTAGCAAACAAATTTACAAGGTTTTTATATTTCCGAGTACTTTTTTCTATATTAATAGAGGAACATGTTTACTTGGAATCAAATAATAAAATTCATTTAAAAATTTTGTAGGTTATTGTTGGTATTTGTGCAGTTTTGTTACAGTTTAATGCGCATATAAAGTTGAGAACAAAAAATAATTTTATAAATAAAATACAATTTATTTTTAAGCTTAATTTATATAACAAAATTGGAACAACTTTTTTGTTAGAAAAAAATTTTAAAAAAATCATATTTGATTTATATAAAAACTAAAGGGGTTTATTTTTGAATGCAAGAAATGATTCTAAGCTGAACCTAAAATCATGAAATTTTTACAGTAGATGTATTTTTGCTTATGTAGATCCACTAAGGTGGGATTTTTGTAAATTTGTACATTTGGGGGTAAAAAAGGGAAAAAAACGTGTAAAACAGGTTTTCTTAATTATCTAATATTAGTGATGCAAGAAAAATTTTAAATGCACCCGTATCTACTCTTAAAATAAGCAGATGGGTGTCTGGTACTTTTTTGAAATTCGTACTTTTAAGAGGTGAAAATGTGTAACAAAGGTGATTTTGGTACCTTTTTTGGCCCTTTATAACTTGTTAACTAATAAACAAAATAACATTTTTGTAAATATTTTGAATATATATCTCCCAAAATTAGGAGAAACCTATTTCGTACTTTTTTAAAATTCAGTCCTTTTTGGGTGTAAAAGAGAGAAAACTGTATTTTTGGTACTTTTTTTAACACATTAAGAAATTTTTTTCGAAGTATTACGGACTAACTCTGTAATATTTATTGAAAGATAATTTTTGCTATTTCACTGGGGAAAAAAGTACCAAAAAAGGGAAAACGGGAAATTTAATTTTATTCAAACTCATTGAACCATTTTTTATAAAATTTGAAAAAGTAGTTTATTTACTCACACAAAATAAGCTATTGGTATATTATTTTTGAATTCGAGTACTAAGGCCTATATAGGATCAAATTCGAGTAAATTGTTTGGTACTTTTTGAAAGCACAATTTTTCTGGAACAAATGAATGTAGATTTAAATCGTTTGAGTTTTATCTGTGATATATAGATTTAAATACGGATCATTTTATAAACTTAATTCTCATTGTACTCTTTTTATTAGTACTTTCCACTAAGGTAGAATTTATTCCACTTTTGGTACTTTTTCTTTCTTCAAGTGATACTCTGATCATGATTTTTTAACATACACGGTCCTAATTGAATAAGATTCTTTAAGAGAGAACCTTTTAGAACTTTTTATCTCATAAATGGTACTTTTTGAATTTTTTAAAATATTCAACCATGGAACATAAATTTTAACATTGAGAGAGATTTTTCTACTTTTTCGTTTTTAAGATGGTACTTTTTGATATTTTTTTACGATATTAAACATAGAAATATAAAACCCCCTATTCGGGGGTTCAGTTGTATTGGGGCTAGGTGAAATAATGGACTGATATTAACCATTTTCAATAGGCTTCGTCCCTGGGACAATAGAAGATCATGTGCCTAATTTCATTGAATTATCTTCAAAATTGCCTTTAGTTTGATTAAAAGGTTTACGTGGACGGACGGACGGATGGACAGACGGACGGACAGACGGACGGACATAGCTAAATCGACTCAGAAAATGATTCTAAGCACAAAATCTATCCATGGTAGAGTGATCGAAATTTGGATATAATATTATATTTTCCGCACTTTTCAGTTATCTAATGAAATATTGTAATATAAACTTATCAGACAATTATTTGAAAACAATATAATCGAGTTATGACTGGGTTACACTTTTAACTATACATATTATTCGAATTAATTCAATCGAATATAAAATCCTTTTTTCATGCCTTTTACTTTTAATATTTCCCAATTAAGTCGTATTTTAAATTAAACATTTGAAAAAGCATCATTTGTAAAACATCTATGTATATATGTATGTATGTATGAATGGCAATAATCCCATAAAAGTACAAGCACGTTTATGTATATATATAAAAAAAAGAAAATCCGTAAATTTTGTTTAAACAAACAGAAAAATATTAAAAATAATACTTTAAAGCAACAGTTCATATTTAAAATTTAAATAAAAAAAACTGTAGACTCATCATCATCATCATGATCTTTAAATACTAACGCAAACGTTTATTCATTAATTTTCAATTTGTTATGGTTGCTTTAAGCATTCTTTCATATTATGGTTGGATGCTTTGCTAATATAAAGGATGTTTCAGAAGTTTTGAGCCTCTAAGAGGATTTAAAAATAAAATGCCATTTAGTAAAAAAAAGAGGAATATTAAAATGTAATATAAGCAATCGTACATTTATTTCAAATCTATTATATGATATCTTACTATTATATTGATCATTTCTTTGGTAATGATCTTGTGTAATGTTAATTTTTCAAGTTCAGTAATTAACCAACAATCCCCTTATTATTCAAGTACTTGTAACATTGTACATCTACAACATAGATTAAATGACATTCAAGTTTATATCATTGTTATTAGTTTTTTTTCTTACATATTCAGTGTGTTGTGCATTTTTTTAAACCCTTGTTATTTTTCTTGGTAATTTCGAAAAAAATCTCCACATGGGAAATGATAAAAGATAAAGTTACAGCCACCACTACCACTGATGGTAAAACATGAAGTTTTTTCTTGCAAAAAACATTGGATTTATTCCACATGGTTGATTGTATAAAATACATATGTACATACATAGATGTAGTCATTCTCATAGTATTTAGTACTAGTTACTTGTTAGTTAGTTATTAATTGGAAGAAAAATTGTTTGCATTAAAAATAGGCTTTGACGTAAAGGAAACAAATATTCAAGGTCAAATATTTTAATTAAAAATTGAAGCGATTGAAAAATGGTCATACAAACAAATTTAAAATACAGGATTTTGGTTAGGATCATACTATACATGTCAATTTTTAAAAATTAATATTTTCAAGCTCTTGCAATAATTTGCTATTGAAATCAAATTTTCACACATAACAAATAAGAGTGCTATATTCGTCTGGTGCCGAATCTTATATACCCTTCACCATAATGTATTTAAAAAATATAACTTTTTAATATTTTAAATTTAAAAAACTTTTTTTATTTTCTGGACGGCTAAATTTGAAAAAAGTGGAATCTCTGAGACCAACTTATACTTTTTTTTAAAGGATTGACCCGAATCTGAAGAGGACTTCGTATGGGCGGTAAGGTCAAATGAGGCCTGATCATTACAAAAATCAGCAGTATTATTAATACTTATATGAAATAAAGTTTTGCCGATTTTTG